GTACTAGAGTTCCCCTATGGGCTACACATTTAAGGAAATATAAACTGAATGAGTCCTTAATTCTTTAGGATAATTTAGGTAAACATCCACTTTTTTGTATTAAAGTTAAAAATGTGATCAATAAGAAAATGGCGAGCATCTTTCACTGCGTCTGGATAGAGTCGTTACCTGTTCCACGCAGTGGAGGAAGCTCTAACATCTGTTTTCAGTCACTGCATAAATATTTAATTATTCACATCTTGTCTGAACAATTGCCCACAATAGAACACTGATTAAAGCTCACCCTTTGCTGAACTTTGCATTGGTTTTACAGAATAATCAGTTGGTGTTCATGTAGGTGACTGACCTGAACCTTTTATGCTTTAAATTGTGCTGCTGTCTTTATGACATTCAATCCAGCCTGTGCATAATAACTAAGAACGCATGAGACCGCTGCAGAATGACTTCATGATTCATTATTTCTTTGCCCACAGACACGAGCTGAGTCATCATTGACAAATTATAGCTGGAGGCTGGTGCCATTTTCTCTCAAATAAAACCATGATCGGAGAAAGTTTTTTAATATCTCAGAGTCCGCTCAAATGGTGATCAATGCCTTAATCTTTTTTAAATAGGTAGCTCTTTTACTGGAGCAAATAAATGTGTTTGATGATCAAATGCTCCAGTGCATATTTTCAAGTGGAGGAAGGGCTGCACATTTGTTTTCTCTCTGTGGTATTAGTGCTTTGTTCCTTCGTTTTGAAATAGATTTTGTGATTCTGTGTTTTTCAAATGCTTCATCCAATATATGGCAAAGGTGCTTGTATAACGATGGGAGACTTTTTTTCTTTCTCATCGTCTTAAAGACACTTCATGTCCAAGACTTCCTCACCTTTTCTTATTCCCCCGTCTCAGAAAGTGCTATGAGCGCAGCAGAGCAACGTGTCTACGTCTGACGTCTCTGTATGCAGTTAAACTGCATTTTCCATAGCAATAATACACTTTCTGCAGTGTCCTCTGCACTGTTGCTTGCGAGCATTTGGGGATATTGTTAAAGCTTCGCTGTTCGCCTTCCAGTCTCACTGCTGCAGATGTCTGACAGCACTTTGATCCTAAACAACCACAAGCTAAGCTGTGGCTCAAGATGCAACAAAATGACAAAATGCAACAACCATGTATCTGCATTTTTCTGGTCAAGCTTATACTGAGTGTTTTACAGTCTAGATTACAGAAGTCTACTTCATAGATGTAAAAACTTCTGCCATACTCCATTTTTTTTCCATCTATAAATTTTTTTCTGTTTATTTCCTTCCAGATGGAACAAAGATTTCAGTAGACAGCGCACCAAGCTCTGAAACACTTTCAGTATCTTAAAATAATGATGTCCTGCAGCATTGGGCCTTTAGGCACGGGTAGATAAGGGGCAAGGTTAAATGACTTACTGGTTGCTAAGATGCAAAGTCAAAGGACACTTTGAGTCCACTTTCAGCAGTTTAGGTGCTAAAGTTGCAAGTCAGTGTTTGAGGGTATAAGACAATGTTCTTCAATCAGGTCGGTCAGTTTATTATAGTTTATTCTGTGAGTGACTGATTTGGTTACAAGCTGAACGTGGCAGCCGAGAACAGTGCAAGTAAAAGTTGTTGCCTCTGAGAGAAACTCGGCCTGTCACGTATCTTTTTATCTACCGGCCCCACCTATTTCACTACTTTCTGTAATATTTCAAACTATGCACTGTTAAAAAAAATACAAAAACGATTTTTTTGTGGATGCGTTTGCATTGGTGCAAACATGCACATATTTCCATTCCGACTCTTGTTGAATGCTTACAAGCAAATGTTTGGTTTTCATTAGCATCAGTGCAGCATTTATTCTAGGAGTGTTGCCACAGATAGAAATGTTGCATTACCATCAGGCCCTGTGACCATTTCCCAGATGACTTGATTTTTCTTTCTTTCCTAGTCCTTTTTATTGGTTTAACAAAGTTTCTTGGTTTCTAGATGAGGGCTAAAGAAACCTAAAACTTTCCACAGAATCTGTCTTATATTGGCTCTCAGACACAAAGAAATCCTACTGTCAACATTACAGAAAAGAAACTACAGAAGGTCCCAAGATGAGTTTTTACTGCATCTTTCTGATCATGAGTATGAAGGAAACCTGATGTGTCAGAAGAGTAGGTGGTGGCATCGCCATATGGAGGACAAAAGAGAATGAACAGTGGGAAAAATGATGAAGAGAGGCCAGGAAGCTCCCCTTTCATCCTTTGTTCTGGGGAAAAGTGGTGAAGAGATGGGCAGTGGGTGGCATGTTGAGAGATAATGATGAGCTGAGTTTCCTGTGGTGAAGCAAGGAAACGGAGGAATGTCGCATCAGGGGCAACGTATGAGAAGATTGTTCAGAAATAAAAGCATACTGAAAGGAAACGCAGAGAAGTTGAGAAACATCAGTGAAGAGGCGTAGTGGTAAACAGAGAAGACGTTGTGGAGACGTAGAGAATAAAACCTACTCCTATTTTTAAGGTACCAGTGAAATGGCATCTTCCTCTAGTTGCAGCAGCGGTCAATCAAACAGGAAGGTGCGGAGTTGAAAGAAGGATGGAAGTGAGAGGAAATGGCTGCAACAGCAAGCACTGCTCTGATGAAAGTGGAGAAAAGGGACAAACTGAGTAAATGGCAAGTTTGAGACTGACTGAAGGTAGTAAGTGACCAAGAAAGGGGGTGAGAGGGGAAAGAGGGGGAGGCTGGCAAGATGCAACGAGTAAAATTTAAGGAAAAGAAAGAATCTTACTTGGTTTAGATAAGAAATCAATTACCAAAAATGAAAACTTAGTAGGTGTCCCAGTTTTCTCATTTTAATCTTTATCAAGTACAGTATAGATTCAAATCACTGTTTGCTATTACACTGATTTACAGCCAAAATAAACTTTAAAATTTGGTGAAATTACTAAGTTGTAATATCTGAAATTCAAAGTATTGTGTGAAATTGTTATCTGATATGCTATTTGGGCATTTCTAAGAGTGTCTTCACTGAAACCAGGAATGACCTGAATACTCTTGAACCGTGAAGTTTAAACTGGGTTGGATGCTTATTTTAAATACGACCGCTCTTCCTAAACTATTCATCCAGTTGTATGCTCGTATGCAACACAATTGTCAAATTTTAAATTTGACGATCCCAGTAGCAGGAAATGCTGCAAAAGTTGTTTGAACTTGTTAAAAACATTTAATCTGGGTTTTTCTTTGTGTGAAACTTTTTTAATGTATTGAGGGGAAAAGTGATCCAACAGCTGTTTAAACTGTTATGTTGTTGTTGCATGTTACAACTTCAAAAATATTGTCAACTAGTGTTGTACACAGACAATATGGTGTTAAGCGGCTCTGCAGTCTTTAGAGCTTTGTGCAAATTACAAGTTAAAATTCATGGCGACCGTGGCAAACTGAATGGCGACAAAATTTGCAAGGGCGAAGCAGCTAAATGAGAGCGTGTGTAACATTTGACTAAGCTGCTAAAGTACCACGCTGATTTCTGGGTTAATTTTCTTTTCTGCTTTTTAGAGTTTCTGAAACTCCGATTGTGCCGTAATCCAGGCAAAATTCCACATTCAGGGTTTAGTTCTTAATTTAACCTTGAAACATCCTCAGATCTTTATACCCAGTTACCTTTTGCTGTATGTTGCCATACTAAAGTAACCTATTACTACTTTGTTTTTTCTTTTTTAAAGAATGAATAAAGGGGATATTGAGAAATGCAGGCAAATGTGGGAAATGATGCAGAAAATGAACCATAAAGGGAAAACTGGGAGACAAGGACAAAGGGGCAAACATGAAATGCCACAATGTATTTAGGTGAGATAAAAACTGAATGGAGCCGACTATTGTTTTAGCAGTGCAGTACTGCTATAACAATGAAAACTGAGGACCAATAAAAGACTCAAACACTCAGTAGTAGGGCTGAGAATGAGGCAGAGAATATTGTCTTACAGTGAGGAGAACATATTAAAATGAGTGAAAGATTGCCAAAGTGAACTGGCAAAACAATAGAAGAGCCAAGCGATGGCGTAGAAGAGAGCAGGGAGGTCAGAGAGAAGTGGAGATTACGAGTGAATGCAGTGAACAAAGGATTGAATGAGAAGTCAGTGAAGGTGAAGGAGAGCAAATTAGATAGAAGGCTAAATTAAAGATTGTGGAGAGTGTGAGAGGAAGGTAGTGAGAGAAAGAAGAGAGGAAATGATGCATGAAGGTAACGCCGTGCAGGAGGCTCTGTCTTATATCATTTTAGCACCTCTCTACTTCCAGCATTGGCTCCACTCCTCTTTCCTACTGTTGCCTTCTTTCTCCACGCCTGCTCTTTAAAGTTATGCTGTGTAGCATAAACTGCTAACTTGATGGAATTAAACACGCTATATGTTTGCCTCGTTATCGATGTTTTGCACATTGCCTATCAGCTCTTATATTTGGGTAACACTTTTATTCTATTCGGATGCTCAGCTATCTGTAAGTGTCTAAATAAGGGACTAAGAATGAAATCTGGTTCGCTGTGTCACGCAAGGTCAATTAATCTTTCTCCTCCCGATTTGCTACAATACAGGAGGTCTCCTCTACGCTCTGTCCCTTGATCTGTATCTTTCTTTTCTGCAACAACGTCTTCGAGGCTTGCTAATGATATTGTGATTGCAGTAAATGCAGGGGTAAGACTGTTAATACTTTAAATCGGTGCATAAATATTGTCAAGGTTCCTTTAGATGTGACTGTAAGGTAATATTTACATGCGCGTTCATCAACCTTTGTCATTAGATGTCCCGACAACCTGTATTTATCATTCAGACTGCATTTCCCCTTAGCCTTGTTAACCGTGATTGGAAAATAATTCAATGCTAGACAGAAACGGTGATTAGTGTCTGGCTGGTTTCTATATGTTGAAGGCTCAGGATAGCGTTTTAATTTGAAGAACCAATGAGTAGTGCAGCTTAAAATGGCAAAATTACATCTTTTCACACAGATGAGGATTTTAGGTTTACTGGAAAGGTGTTTTTAAGCCATGTTTTTACAAATTTCAGCTTGACTGAACAGCACGATTAAAGTCTACTCACAATAATATGACATGCAGGTGTGGTGAACGAACCATCGTCAGACTGTAGAGCAAAAATTTAGTTAAATCAACTTTGCTTAAATATTTTCAGTGGGGGAAATCATTTGATCCCCTGCTGGATTTGTACATTTGCTCACTTACAAAGTGATGAACAGTTTCTAATTTATGTAGTAGTTTCATCTTAATGGGGAGAGACAAAATATCAACTGTAGATCCTGGAAACCCAGCGAGTTGTATAAAAGATTTAAAAGATGACTTGAAAGAGATGCATGTCGTTGATTGAAATATCTATCCTCGAGCAAAAAAATAACTCTGTACAGAAAGCATGTTTGCAAGCCCAGCCGTGTAGTTGGTCACCAGGTTTCCGTACATCTCAGGTGGGATTTAGGCTCTCTGCTCTTTAGCCCTTCAGCTCCCTTCGCAGCTTTTCTACAGGACTGAGGTCACTCCATGACGTTAATGGGCTTCTTCATCAGCCTCACTGTCGTGCTGAAAGGCTCATCCACAACCCTTGCGGCACACAGTCCCGTTCATCGGCTGCTCAAGTCCCCAAGTCATGTTGACGCCAGGGAGTTTGATATTGGTTTCGTCCGATCCACACTTTTCTCCCAAGCCTCCTCTGAATCGTTCAGATGATCATCCTCACTCCATGAGGCAAGATCTGGCACGGAGCTCAGACTGAGGGCAATTGATGAATTTTATATTTCTTCAAATTTCCGACTAATCATGCAGTTGTCACCTTCTCGTCAAAGCTTATCGCTGATGGTCTTTTAGCCCAGACGATGCAATGTTGTCCCTGATATCCTTTCACAGTTCTTTGGTCTTGCCCATGGTGGTGCACTGATTCTGTGGACAGGTGTTTTATACACAAATCAGATGGCTTAAAGGTGATCAAATACTAGTTCATTCTGTGACATGCAAATCAGTTTATAACTTTTAAGTTTTTCTAGATTTCTTTCTTAGACATTTTCTCTCCATTTAAAGGAAAAGATCATGAAAATTAGAGGCTGTTCATTTCTTTGTGAGCAAACTTACAATGATTATTCTACCAAGTGAGCTTAAGAGAAACAATGCTTTTCTTGTGGACGTTACTTATCGCTGTAAATTAAACTCTCAATCTCACACTTATAGCCACTGTATCCTGTTGACACTTGACGTAAAAGTGACTAATTAGGTGAGAAGCCCTCATGGGATGTTTGTCCATTAGACAGATGTCTTGTCTGCTCCTTTTTTGTCAAGGTGTACACTTCAGTATGTTCTATAACTGGTCCAACTGGTATCTAGCACGTTAGCTGCCGACTCTTAAAGCATCCTGAGTAAGCAGTTAGTCAGCACACTGCAGGGAAATGCATCATACCTTTATCATAACTGCAAATGTCAGAGGAAGTTTGGCTGCTGGCAGACACGACCTTTCGGGATGCACCAATAAGACGTGCACACAGAAACATGCAAACGCTGCCAGAAGGTTATCTCGCAGTGCACAGACACACGTTTGTTTGCTGAAAGGTAATTTTGTCTGTGGCTGTGAATGTTTGAATGTAACTCAGCCTTTTTTTTTTTTTTAATTGTGTGAAATTGGGACAGGTTTTTGCCATCGGCAAAAAAAGCCGGGGGGAGAGTTGTGCTGCATTGTTGCTCTTACCTGTCACACTTAAGTGCACCCATGTACATGCAGGCAGACACGCAGTTTTTAAAGGTGACTGTAGCAAAGACTCTGGCCACATTAAAAGGAAGACTCTTATGAGTTTTAAATCAAATTGCCCTCCGGCCTCATGTGCAGAGACACGCAGATGCGCGCACACTTTCCAGCACACCCCGTTTTACTCCCCCTGTCACTGTTGATGGTTTCATATTCGAACAGTCTGCCACTCTAGCATTGCCTGGTGTCTGATGCTCAAAGCACAAGAGGGAAAAAGACCCTTTTTACCCCATCCCTGACAATTTGCATTACAAAAATAACACACACAGACTTATCACACTGTTTGATTTCGATCTCTTCCTCAAACAGATTTAAAAAAGTGTCTTACTTATGGGCATACTGTGGACACTGAGAGGCACGCAGTGAAAGCCAAACTTCTATCTCTATTTCCTTCACTTTTCCTTATCATAGTCTGTCTCCAGGTGTTCCAGTAGTCTCTCAGCCGCACCCCTCCCTCCATATCTACATTTCGGCAGCATCTGCATAGGACTCAACAGAAAGTGGAGACGGGAATTAAAAAAAAAAAAATTCATGAAATATAAGACTTTATTCTCAGGTGGGCTGAAAGACTAATTGGAGTAAATATTAAACCGAAGTAAAATAAACAGTTGTGCAGCCCTGTGCAGGAATCAGTTCATTTCAGCTAGGGATGCAATGAATCACAATCTCACTAATGGCTCATGTTGGTTTTTCCTTTCCCCATTTTTATTTTTTGTCTTTGTTTTTTGCCAGGGACACACAGAAATCTTCAAGTCTTAATGCCCTTCATCACAACAACATTTAGCTACTGCATTATTGCTGCGATACAACATTGCCACTGTTGATCTTATTGTCGATGTTTAGTGATGCACCAAATTCAGCCCACTGTTGAAGTCTTTTCTCAGCAACAAAGTGAAATAAGTACGAGAAACTCGGATTATGCTGGTGGGATAGTTTTCCCCCATCTAACCTCAGAAAACCTCAGAAAAGGGCAGAGACGACTAGATCCGTTCTACCTCCGCTTCAGCTTTTTCCGCTATGACCTGAAAGATGTAAATAATTAACAGAAATGATGTTTTGGTTTGATAGTTCATGTTTGACACTTTTCTTCTTCTCGTATGTTTAAAAGTTTAATTAGTTCTGCTCAGATGCAGATTGCTGCCAGCTCGCTTCGTTTCCAAGTGAGTGTTGATCTCAGCTGCAGATAGCATTGAAAGGAGCTTGTAATGTCTTATATTGAAATACAGAGCCTGTCTGAAACCAGCTAATATTGTTGATAATAACAGGATCCATTAGCCTGACGGCTTTTAGTTCCCGTTCTGTCTGTCTGTTGTCACATCAGCGCTCTTTCCCATTCTGTGTCATATCCAATCTGTCCTTTGAAATCTTGTTTACACCTTTTTTCCTTCTAAACCCATTTCTGTCTGTTCCTGAGCTCATTGATCTCCCTTCTCCTACCAGTTTGCTTCTTTTTATGTTCTCTTTTCCTCCTGTTTTTTTTCTTTACTGTAAGAAATGTTTTTAATTACCATAAGAAATGTTACTTCACCCTTACCTCCTAATCAGCTCCGCTGACTGACAAGTAAACAGCTTCATTTTCGCCCCACAGATGTGCGTGTGCGCTGCAGCTTCTTTGACTCACAAGTTTGCCTGGAGCTCAAAACATTTTCATGAGGACTGACTCATCTTCACAATTCTGTCCAAGTGCAAACTAAACCAAAGCAGCATTGGCACTTTTTTTTTTAAATTAAACTATATCCAACCTAATTTTGCAATAGATTTAAATATAACACTGAAATCTGCTGTTGTAGATGCACCAAAATACACACGCACAATATTCACATGCAGTGCTTTTCTTTTTTCTCCACGCATACACAATGTACTTAAGTAGTCAAGCGCACAAACATGACACATGGCCACGCGTTAATGACTCAGTCTCAGTTCCATACATGTAAATTTTATTATTTATATCAAGTCAAGAGAACAATATTGACTTTGGCAAAATGAAATGAGAACAGAAAGGAAACAACACTGATTGTTATTATTGGAATTGGCTTTGTTTAATAGGCATCTGTGTGTGTGTCTGCTTTGGAGTGTGTGCTTGCCAGTTTGTGTTTTGTGCTGTGCGCTTATTCTTGTTGTTGTTGTTGTGGTTGTTAATTTAACTGCCTAGTCATAATCATGTTCTTTCCTACTCACGAAGATTTCTTGTGTAAAACAAAAAAAATCACACTTTTCATAGTTTGCGTTCGATCCTAGAATCACTCCCCAGAAAACTTTGAAAAACAAACACATGGTGCGACAAGTAACATTATTTTATTTATATACTATATATGTATGTGTTTGTGTGTCTCTCTTAGAGGTTTTTAAGAGTCTTCCAACAGATTTTATAGCGTTTAGTGGCTTCTGCAGCAGTTTTTGATTCATTTACTGTTTTGTTTTTTTTAACTGCTTCCTTTCTGAGAGCATTTGATTTGGATTTACCATGAACCCATGTGGCACAAAGGAGTTTGAAGTCACACAAATGAATTTGAAATTTTAATTCCCATTTAACAGTTTCCGCTTTCTCACCATGCTACACTGCTGAAAATAAGTTGTACTGGTTGTGGCGTATTTAAACATTTCGCTCTGCTTTCAGTCTCGGTGGAGCTCAAGGACGCCTCTCACCTTAATTTTTAGGGTTTTTTTCCTTTCTTTTTTACAGCATATCCAGAAAGCACTAAACATTTGTGAAACATGGAGTCTACTTCACCGGCTCGCCCCCCACCCCGCCCCACGAACATTCATATACACACAGGCACACAAATGCATCCTGTCCCTGATCCATAGATGCATGCACACTTGCGCATCCATTAGCATTATTCATCTGTTTGGTCCATTATCATCTGACATCCAATACGATGTCTCGTCTTTTACAAATGCACACGCTTACACGTTCCATTGTGCACTCCCGTCTCCATTTTGTAATCCATATCAACTCCATTGCAATTCCAGTGTCTTTCTTTTAATAATGTCTGGGCTCCCCTCGCTGTTTCCAGCCTGTATCGATTGATCATGTCCAATGCACCCAGCTCTGTATTTATACTCCCATAATCCGCAGGCGCAGCGAGCCAAAATCATTGTCCAGACACAGAGGACACATAAAAGTCACATTCAGAAAAGAGCTTCAAAATGGCCGGCTGCGTGAAAGCCAAAACAACAGAGTGGGGCTGTGTCATCCAGACCTTTTCACTGATGCATTTCTGTCACAAGTATTTCTCCAGTATTAACAGTGGTGGTGTTCTTGATCATGGTGGTGTGGGAGGTGAGACTCTGGAGAATTGAGTGGTTGTGTTAGTGTGATCCACACAGGTCACAACATCTCCTCCTCCTCTGCTGTAACCCTTGTTCTGTTTCCTTACTGCTGTTTTCCCTCATTATCTCCTTAATTTACATCCCCCCATGTCCCTCTCACATATTTTTTTTTGTCCTTTCACTGCGATGATTGTACTTTCTCTTTCCCCGTCGCCTTGAATTTTTAAAGATTTTTTTTAATTAATTTTTTTTGGTCACATTTCTCTGCCATCACTTTCGAGGTTCCTCGGAGAGCCTCTTACAAATCCTGACCTCACTTCTTGGTATACTCCCTCCTCTCAGCTCACAGGGCAAATCAAGAAGCTGCATTAGTGACACTTGAGTCACCTGCTCTCCTTCCTTCCTCTGAACTGGAAGTTTTTCATCTAAAAGGGTTTTGCTTTTGTAATCCCTCCTCACCTCTTTGGCCTTCTTAAATCAGCATCTCATTCAAACTGTCCTCGTACAGAACCCTTTATCCCCCTCCACTTTTTGTAATCCGTGCCCCTATACGACGCTTTCCTCCAGTTCTTCCGCGCTCTTTCCATCCTTTCCTTTTTCCCTACTCCTGTCTTTTCCATTATTTGCTTTCCCGGGAGTAATCCCAGTGTTAGAGTTGGAGTTGGTGGCGTTATAAGCATGAATATATCCCCTTTGGAAATCACAGTGACCCCCGAACCCGCCGCTGCTTTCGCACTCGTCGCTCGTGGTCGACGACGCTGTGCTTGCTGTCGAAGCGCACTGCACCAGCATTCCATGCAGCGACTGGCTCCGCCTTGTCCAGATGACGCTTAGCCTCTTGGCATAACTGACAGCGCCGTAGCGCCTGGCGACACTCGCTGCGGCATCAGTCGCTAGCGCGACCGAGGAGCCCATATCGAGCGAGTGCCTCCGTTTGCTAACTGTTCCACAGGCGGGGCTCAGAGGGGAAACGGGGCTCTGATAAGCCTGTGAGGAGTTCCATTTGTCCCTGCCTCTGGGTGCGACTCTCCAGTCCAACAGCTCCGAGTCTCTCAGGGGCGCCGCGAGAGAAAAACTAGCACGATTGGTCAGCTCTCGCTCCAGTCGGGGCCTTGGGCGCTCCCTCTGACGCGACTGACGGGGAAGGGTTGAGGGGGGAGAAGGGGAGTAGTAGAGGGGCGTTCTGTCACTTTCTGAGGTGTACGGTGGCGCCTTGTCCAACTTTCGCTGTCTCACCACCAGTGCCATCTCACTTCCTGCCCCTGTCGTTGTGGAAACCACGCCTCCAGCTGAAAGAAACTGCTCCAGGTTGACTTTAGGTTTCGGCCTGGGCTTAGGAGGCAGTTTTGGAGGCACAGAAGAGGCTGAATCGGCCTCTTTTTCCTTTTCATTGTCCTTCTCTCCTCCTCTCTTAGAAGGCAGACCATTGGGCAGGACCACCATCATCATGTCTCCAGAACCATTGGATTGGTAGCATCCGCTACCGTTTCCTCCTTTGTCCCCACCTCCTACACTCCCCTGACAGCAGGCCCCGCCTCCTGCCTCGGTATTGCTGCTGTGACACATTATATGGTCCCCGTGATTGCAAACGCGGTGGCGAACCATGAGTGCCACAGTAAACACAAGTAAAGTGACGACAACAACGCCGCCAACCAGTATGGTGAGTGTCCCGCCCAGAAAGTGGGCTTGCAGAGAGCGACATGCAGGGTAAACATCCTTGGTGGAGAAGGTTGTGCAGCCCAGAACCTTTGTCGCAGCTAAAGATGTGATTGTGTCATCAAAAATGGCCAACACGCACAGATTATAGTCCACACCGGAAACCAGGTTCTTCAGCAGGAATCGATCACTGGTTGACGGTAAGATTCTAAAGAGGGAATAAAGGGAAAAGAACATGGGTCAGTTACATAAACATGGACGGTGCACAGAAATGCATAGCATCTGCTGTAATTTGAAACCTGACCTCGATATTCTGACTAATCTGACCGAATTTAAGGAATAAACGGTTGAAGATTGGGAATACAAGCGGAGGAAATGGGCGTAAAGGGAGGGCTAGAAACGGCACCGGAGTAAATACTGCAGTAGGGGAGTGAGGGGAAAATGAGGCTATTGATGGGGAGCGCGCCTAGGGAACATGAAAAGAGAACTCTGTCTGCTCATTTGGAGAGCAGGAGCGTGTCTACGTATGTGGGGATGTATTCGCATCTTTGCGGGAAGCAAACATCACAGCAAAACTCTACACATTTGGTCGTTTTAGGTTTAATTTCTGAATTAAAGTTAAAGTATAGTTGATGTTTGCTTTTCAGCAGAACTTATGAAATTAAGACGTGTATATAATCTGGCTTTGGTCTTTTAGAGTGCAGATGTTTTCCTGTGTGTCTGTAATGAGTGAGAGCTTGCGTGGGATAATAAAGAGAGAAGTGCTTTGAATGTGTCCTCATTTTAAGCGTTCGACCAGCCGTTATAATATATATATATATATATATAACAAATGGGCGAGAGGTGAACAATAGAGGGATACTGGGGGGGTAAAGACGGTGAATCGAGGGAGCAGACGTTACATAAGTTGCATGTGATTTTTATTTTTTCTGTTTGCACCTGGATCTATGTTTGTATTTATGGGATGAGGGAATAAACGTGTGTTTTGATGCCAGTGGGTTTGTGTATGTGACATGCCAGGGTAAAGTGTGTGTGGGAGACTGAAGCGCACCTCAAGTGTCGCTGATGGGTATGACTCTGCCCTCTGCATTTCCAAACCTCTTGTGTGGGCAAGTATGTATTGTAGTTTTGTTTTGCTAACCAGAGTATTTTGTCAGTAGTTCCTTTGTTTTTCCTCTGCATCACGCTGTCCAAGTCCTTTTTTTTCCCTCCATTCGCTTTCACGCTACATCAAAGGGCTTATTTGTATCCTACGTTACTAACCATTTCAGCTCCCCTCAGACCTGAGCTACATCCTATAAATGCCATCTAGGATGACTCAGACATCCAGGGAGCTGCTGCAGAAGTCCCCTAACCTTATTCAGTATGTAATGCCTCCAAAATGGAGACCCAGAGACGGCAGCGGTTTGGTCTTGTTTTTCTTCAGTTTTAAATTGGGGATAATTGGCGCCTGTTATATAATGAAGTTTTTCAAATAAAACCAATCTGATAATTCTCACAGCCGTATTTGTATCGATGTTGGTGTAAAGATGGGATTAGTCGTCTTGAATAATGCAGTGCTAGCTGGGAAATGAGAGGGGCCTTCTTGAGGCAAGCTACAGTCCAGAGCAGTGGATCTGGGTTATGGCAAGTAGGAATATTGATCATTTTCACCACCTCCTCAAGGCTTTAAAAGTTAACAAAACCAAATGTTTTCTACAGATGTCCAGAATATCAACTTTTGCACTCGTATAATTTAAAAGAAAATATTTTTTTTCTTCCTCTCTCTCTTTGCGAATAACAATGTTTCAAACAGTTGCACCGTTTTAGCAAATTGCCTGGGGTGATTTGAATAGCAAGGAAATGCTTCCAAACTTCTAATTTTCAGCAGAAGCTCGGTATGAATTTAGCAAGAAATTACAACGTACTGTGTGACACTCCAGGTTCCCAGATAATCTGAGTAGACACATGGGGCATCGTCATTAAAGTCGTCCTCATCCGGCGGTCATTAGGTCGCTATAAAGTCCCTTCTAACACAGTTACAAATCTGCCCGTTAACTCGTGCTGTGCGGTGGAGCAGCTTGGGTTCCAGGTGTATGTTTCCATGGCAAAGGCTCATTATTTGACTCTGCAGTGTAGTAATTATACTAAGAGTACCTCGTCTTCTGATATCCACACACTAAGCACTCGGGACCAATCAACTTTCCTAGCTTCATTTCCCAGGATATTAGTCATGTCTTATTTTCCGAGAATTGACATAAAATCGCCAAATTTTTCCATAGCAACATCATAAGCACAGCATAAGCTTGAGAGATGCCAATTACAAAAATAAAGCTGTACTTTGATACGCTAAGAAATGTGTATGCTGAAGCTAATTTAATCTTTCTCACAGAACTGTAAAGAAGTGTCAGAGATCTCTGAACTCATGGATATAAACTACAGTGGACAACCTAAACATCAGCAGTAACCAGCACTGACATAAAAAGATGAGAGGTTTTGATTAAGGCGTTTTCATATTCCTACAGCAAAAAGACATCCAGAGAGTGAAAGTGAAACCGAGGATTATGACCAAATATCTCAGGGATGAAAGCTCAAAATAAAACCTCTTGTGCAATCAGTCAAGTCAGAGAATTGTGAATAGCTCCTGTGAAGTCCAGTAGTAAAGACAGGGGGTGCTCAATCAGATTTCCAACATGAAATATACAAGAGGCATCGCTCGCTATGCTTCTGTTTCTGAATAAAAAGCCTTGGTCATAGTATAGGCTTATCAAAGCCCCCGAGATTTATCGCAATGGTGTCAGTTCATCCACAGCCTTTATGCGTCTATATATAATTGATAGATCCCACAAGACAGAGCGACTTGACCATCATTGGAGTGATTCATGTACTCCAGTGAGTTGCTGCTTCTGTCTATCACAGGCTAATACCCAAATCTCTTTTCTTACTTTGATTCATATTAGTGCATACTGGTTCAGAGTTAGTGTGTTGCTGGATACTGAATAAGAATGCCTAAATCTTATAAGATGATATTCTAGACCAGCATATTTGCATCTGTCTGGATTAGCCTAACACAACTAAGCTTTCTGGATGAGTCTTTGATTTGGTCCTCCATCGTGACCATGCCTCACACAATCATGCACACCTTTAGTCATTTTTCTAATCCTACCTTTCAGACTCCTCCCTTTTTATTCACTCTGTCCTCCATTCTTCCCTCTATATACTCCTGTAAAGCTCTTTATCAGTCCTCCACCGTCAATGCGGCCAACTTATTTTATTATTTTCCTCCATCAGTCTTACATGACCAGATTTCCTCCGTTTGGGTGATCAGGCTCTCTTATCTCCTCATATCCTATGAGCTTTTCATTGCGGTGCAATCACCCATCCCTCTTTTTCCTTAGCCTAAATCTGCAGTGATGCAGTCATCTTTGGTTCAACCTCTTTTACAACTTCACTCTCCTCCTCTGGTCTAATCCTGTGTATCTTTTACCTCATCTGCTTGCCTCAAATCCTTTGGTATTTTCCACCAGGCTCTACCTGATCTCCCAGCCTCTCTTCCTTTTCAGTCACTCCACTACATCTCTATTAGCCACACCAATAACCATGTACCATGATTGAGCATCCAAGGTCACTCTTCCTCCCCTCTCATCTACCCCTATCTTCTCTGCCATCTCCTTTTTAGGTACCACTGCTCCTCCCTCATCCTCTTACCGCCTCTTTTCCTTTTCACTACCCAGCTCACCATTTGTATCCTATATTTCTTTTCCTCTTCCTCTTGCCCACCACCCCTCTCAGTCGTCTTTCCCACCCCGCCACTGCTTCCTCCCTTATGAGATTGTGAATCACCTCTCTAGTTGTTTTTGCTACACTGGGAGCGACAAAAATAGGCAAGCAAATTCACTAAAATATACATGGAAGACCCAGACACATTCACAAACGCATGCATCTTTGATATGCTGATTCGCTAGCACTCGCTGCATTATTCATTTTTTTACCCGTATTTAGCTATGTGGTGTGGGTACACATGAAATAATATCCGGCTAAAACCTCTGCTCGAGACATTATGTTCATGAATACAAAGTGCATCTCGTGTAACTCGGACTGATCGTGGTGGACTATGAAAATTGATTGATTAAACGGCCGTGGTGTTGTCTGTATTTGCGCCGACTCGATCTTTGTGGGCCGGCTTCTAACATACCAAGAGAGTTTGCTCCATCCCTGTGCTTCTAATTATGGTTAAAGCCTGCAAAGGCGTGCACATCCACAGATGCAGGGAGAAAGTAATCGAGACAAGGGAGTGCTTTGTTCAAGCCGGTGACACAGAAACGAGTAATTATTAGTACCCGTGAGAGTAAGGCGGAGAGGAAAAGAGAGTGATGGAGGGAATAAAGGAGTGGTGGAGCCCAATTTTTTTTCTTTCTTCTCATCGTACTTCCTGTCTTCTCTTGTCATTCTCGCCGCCTCACGTCTTGCTCCTCTCTGTCAGAGTTACCAAGTCTGGTGGTCTGACACCAGACAAGATTGGGCACAGAGAGCAAGAGCCGGAGGAGTGAGTGAGAGAAAGAAAGATGAAGAGGAACAACAAAGCAATTATCTCCTTCTGGCTGACATCTATCCAGCTCTCCTCACCCCCCCACCCCATGTCACGCCTTTTGTTCGTTCACTCTTTCCTACATACATTTTTAGCCTTGATTCGTCAGACTGTTTATTGCCTTGTTATCTGTCTCTCTCAATTTTGTCTGCTTTCTTCAGTTTTCCATGATCACCCCACCTCCCCTGTTTTGCTTTCCTTTATCTGGCTTTTCACTTAACTCTTCCTTATTCGGCCTGATTTTATTTTTCCCCCCTCGATGCCTGATTCGGTTGCTTTCTTTCATTTTGCGACCTTCTCCTTGTCGTCCTCAGTGTTGCTCCCCCTTTCTTCACTTTAACCACCTAGATATTTATAGGAAATTCCCTGTCCATCCTTTGCTACCTGCTTAGCCCGTCCTTTTCCGACTCTACAGAATAATATAACGTGACATATGTATTGAGTGCTGACCCTGTTCTCTTCCCCTTCCTGTTGAAGCCTCTGATATGAGCTGACGCATGTATTGACACAGTAGTTTAACACTTAATTAGCTCTTCCCGTGGGGTAAAACTCTTCACTTCATTTTACCTCATCTCCTTTTCGCTTCCCTCCCTGCCCTCTAACCGCTCAGCTGTCCGGGTCCTTGTTTGTTCATTTTGCTTTCCTCTTTTTCCATCTTTGAAGCCGCATGCCTCGGCATGCCCTGCTCCCTGCCACATCTCTTATTACATCCTTATCAATCCCAGCCTCAGCATTTGCACATATCTTCTTGCTTTTATGATTTTTTTTTTTTGTGTTGTAATATGTTGTAATATGACAAAGTGAAACCATGTGAAGATTTTGATGGATTTCTGATTGGACCAGTGGGGAAAATCATTTGCACGGCTCGGTGTGTTTGTTTTTTCCTGTTTTTGTTGGCTGAACACACTGTAGTTTAGATTCTTGTCACTTTTGCTAAGCACATTTAGTTTACATGTAATGAAATGTGCTGTATAAATAAACTGACACATAGTTTGGTGTAGCTATAGTCAGTGCCCTGGGTGAGCATTTATAAATACATCCATAGCACAATTCAGTGTTTTCAAATATTGGTCAGATATGGTGGGTAATTTGCAACAGGAAAAATCTTTAATGCCAACACCTAATTTTCAGGATTTTTTATTAAAGCCCTCTCCTTTTGTGACTCATTAGCCGTGTTCTCAGCTCGGTTTCTCAGCACGCGCCTTTCCTGCGGCTTTCAACCTCTCGCTCTGTACTTTTTAACAGTGCGGCCTTTTCTTAGACACAACTTTCATTATTCTCATTATTTCTCAAACTCTGCGTGATTTTTCTCTCCAATGTACTCCCATTGCTCTCCCTGTGATCGTTACTGTTCCCATTAAGTCTTAGCCGAACTTGGCACTTTGAGTGCCCGGCAGAAAGGTCGATCGTGTGGTGACTGGGGTGCAATTGTGAAAATTGTCAAAGCCACTCTGCGCCTTCCTGCGCACTTTAAAGACTGTTGTTAAACTTAATGAGAAACTTTTGGCTCAGACATATACAAGTGTCATACAGATGCTCTCTCTGACATACCGTATATAGCAGTGATTCATAACTAATTCCCAACTGCTTGCCAGAGGCTAAAAATAGATGGATTTACACGTAAAAAAAAATCATGAAGCACAGTGAAACGGCAGATATCTTGTATAATTCTTAGTGAATAATGGATTATACAGAGGTTGGGCTCAGTGAGACTTGTGCTGAACATGGAATCTGTTTCCTGTAAAATGTCTATTTACTACATGTCAGGTAGATTCTGACTGGTAGCGAGGTCATTGTTTACAATCCCAGCTAATTAAATGCTTCTTTCTGCTTTGTGTTCCTGCATACAGTACATGGAATATGTCAATGTGTTAATTCAGTATCACAGCTGCCATTAAAGTTGACGTGCTTCTGATTAAGACGCGACCGAAAAAGCTCCACAAAGCTGTAGTGCCGGCCGATGAGGGTTGACGGCCTTAAACTGTCTATGACTGCATGTTCTTTGTGACTTGCAAGTGCTGACGAAAACGCGCTTTTGAACAGATGGTGCTCCATCGGTTGCTTTAAAGTGCTGGCTCATTAACATGGACTCGTGCTTTCCTGTCCTGCTCTTTGTCCTTCAGGTAGGCCAGTCCCATGCGTGGGCAAAGAAGTCATGGTAATTGCTCACATTTACCGGCAACAAGGAAATCTTTGGCAGTTCTTTCGCTGTGCTTTTCAGAATCTGAGTTTCATGTCACACTGAAGGATCAGTGACCGTGTGGTGCTGTTAAAGGGTAGCAGAGCTCCGGGAAGGAAGCTGACTTAATGTTGTGAGGGAGCACAGCTCAAAGGAAGCCACATTCATGACATTGTACCTGTTTCTCTCACAGATGCCAGCAGAATTACAAAGCATGCTAAAATGGAGGTCGGTGTTGTCTAACATACGACTGACCTTCTAAAGGATACAGTGCAGTCTGCTGTTCTATTGTGTGTATACCACCATCTTACGATGCATTTATTTCTTGTCATTTCTCAAAGATTCCTCTTTTCCTGTGTTTCTGTCTTCATTTCTGAAAGCCCCTCGTCTCCCCCTCTTCCCATCTTTTGCCCAATTCAGCGAGTGGCTGGTGTTTCCTCCTCCCAAATTCAGCAATAGAATACGAACACAAATCCCAGATAAAAAACCTGAAATCTCACTGACCTGGTCTCACCTTTTGAGTTTCTAAGCCAGACTTGCTTTGGTTGATTCCTTTTTTTTTTCTTGTGTGAAACTTTAGTTGGCACTAGCTCATTGATAGCATGATGGGAAGCCATACTGGAGATGCTCGACAGCGTTGTAGTATGCTGCTTTCCTCCTTCTGTCCTGAGAGACTGAGGGTTGTGCCTCCAGACTTGTCTCCTATTTCAACCTGTTTTCCACACTGACCTGTTAAAATGGCCACTACCCTACTCTGAACAAATCACACCACCAGGAAAACAGAGGGGTGTATGTGTCACAATCTGGCAAAACCTCAGATCGCTTACTCTCCTGTGATCCCAGCTGGTCTGTGACTCATTCTTTCATGCTTATCTCTTCTGTTTTCTTTTGTTTCTCTCACAGCTGAGTGTTTAAGAAAAGCATTTTACTGGTGTCAACCTTTTGCCTTAAAGAGCTACGTTTAGGTGCCCAAAGAAGAAGACTGTATTTTTATAAAACCACCCTTTGAGAAAATACTTAAATTTTGAGTCAAATTTAATCGAGAAACTAATTAACCTGGTATTGTGTTGTTTGATATCTCATAGTTTGTGGAGAGTATCTTCTCTTAACCTTTGTTACTAGAGATAACCAGCTTGCTCCCCTGATCTCAGATTATTATCCACTGAGAAATTAACACTAGTGATCAACAAGGAACTCGAGATGTCAGTGAGCTCATTTTAGGTAAGCGTGTCGTGGGAGTCTAAAGAATCTGCATGTTATTTGTTTTGATGTTGCATTCCTGTTGGACATCTCTTTATCTCCATCCTTTCAACTGCACAACCTCCTTTTCAGCAGAGGAGCACTTTGCTTTCACAAAATTGCCTCGTCTCTATTTCTAAACGTTCCTGCTCCCTTGTCACATTATTCCTGTTTGCTTGTTTTTTTTTTTCTCGCTGTCTTACGTTTCCGTGGGCTCCATTTTCTCCTTTCTCCCTTATTGCATCAGTTCTCCCAACCTCCTCCTTTCTTTCATACCCAGGTGTATATCTGTGTACACGGTCTTTCTATTTCAGTTATGGATTTAAATACCTTCCCTCCCTCTCTCCACCCTCGGTTCCTTTTTTTGTTTTTGTCTTCCTTTTCCCACGTGGGCCTTCTACGCTCTTGTCCTCCTTACTGTCAGTCTGCTTTCACACATCCTGCTTTTATCTCAATCTCACCTCAAGGTGATTTGGGTAGAACCCATCTTCTCAGTCTCTACAGGTCTCAGTCCTCATGTCTAAATTCATCCGCTTTCCCCTTCTAACTGTATCCTTCACTCATAGTATTGCTTTTTACCTCCCCATCCACCCTTTTGCAAACAGCCCAGGTTCCTAGTATTTTTACTTTGCTCTCAAACTTTCAGATTATAGCTTTTTTTTCCCTTCACAATCATATTTCCATCTCTGTTCTCTACAGTCTTTGTCATACGAGTTGCTCTACCCCTTACGATACACTTACAGCTTAATGCCTTCTTTATAATACCTGAGGGAAGCCACATTGAACCCCAGCATTACTGCCAGCTAAAATAAAAACCCCACACAAATAATAGCACAGTGGCAGCCCTTGCTCAGCCAGCCCAGTGTCTTATCCCATCTTCCTCACTGTTTCAGCCACTGTAGCAATAACCCCACGCATAATGTCTCATCAGTCTACGCTCATAAATTCAGAAACAGTAAACTTTGACTGTGTACGGCTGTAATTCATGAACAGCACCATAGTATTGTACATGTAAGCACACCAAGTAGCTAAAAAAAGCCACACTGTTTTATATTGAAAGACATTAGTCTCGTCCTTTAGCTTTGTTTAGACTGTTTTCTCTCATGGATTCTTATGCAAGCCCAATATTTTAGAAATGCAAATAAAAAAGATGCGATTTTTCAGGATATTGTTTTTGGTCTTCCTTATGTAGAACTTATCTTGTATAGCCACAGCTACATTCGATCTTTGAGGGGAAAAAGTGGAATTTTCAAATACTTGCAGATGTTTGTTTTTTTTAGTTTTACCTCCATGTTTTTCAGATCTGTACCCTGTACTTGTATGCCATGGCGTAAATAAGAGCTTTGAATCCTTTAACTACAAATCAACTTTCTAAGTGGTTATTTATCTGCCTCTTAGACTATGATGAGTCATACACTGACATAACTTATGAAAATTAGTGTGTTTAGATTAAATACATGTTGCATCACTGTTATCGTGCATTTTTAGATGGACACCGTGGCCTCTCGATGTTTATGTTACGCAGCTCGGTTCAGAAACATCCCCCTCCTTCAAATCCTTTTCCACGTTATCCACATATCCTCCCATTCTGCACTCACCCATATGCACTGGCTACTGCCTATTGAGATTAAGTGTCATAGTGATGGAGATAAATTATTAACGGTCTCTCGTCCACTATCCCTTTATTCCGCTCCCCGTTCACTTTTCCCTTAAGCTATCCGCACATCAATATGCAAGATGAACAGTTCGACTACTGAGGTGTCATATTGTAATGGATAAATATTTAAAATGATTAGCATGAAAGAAAAGGGTGGGCATGACCCTGCAAAAATACCTTCTGGAGGAGAAGCTGAGAAAGCAATCATTTGGCAAGTGTCTAAGTTTGCCATTAGATAAGCGACAAAAGCTTCTATTATTTGCATTGTGAGTAAAGTTGAACTGACCTGTAAACGAGCGTCTCATCGGCGGTGCAGTTGTACTGTATCTGATACATCCAGACAACGTAAGCTCCAGACAAACGCCCCAAATCCCATCGGACCTGAGCCGATGTCGATGTTACTCCCTGTACTCCAATCATCCTTCCTTCCTCTTCTTCCCCCTCTTCTTCCTCCATGCTTCCTCCATCAGTCCTCTCTCCTTCAGATGCCCTACCGCCGTCACCCTCTTCGTCATCCCCTCCAACTCTTTTCCCATCCTCTGGCTCTCCTCCGCGTCCACCGCCATTGTTAATCCCTCCATTTTTGGCCGTGCTAATATCCGACGAGCCCGGATCGGTCCGTAAAATTCCATTGGTCACGTTCCTGTTGTTCTTGGTGTTAACGCTGTTGCTCCCAGCGTTTCCACCTACTCCACCCCGGTGAGGCAGGGGGATTATTTTGAGATCCACAGTGGCAGTTGCTTCACCTGCTGCGTTTATTGCGATACATGTATATGCCCCGTCATCACGGGCTACTGTTACCAAGATATCCAAGGTCCCGTTGCTAAAGGAGCTGGTCCGGGATGAGTTTGCGATGATGCGATCATCTGGTGAAACCCAGTGGACTACTGGCTCGGGGTCACCAATGGCACGGCACTTTAGCGTGGCTCGCTGGCCCTCCAGCACCCACAGCTTGTGCGTGTGGCGAGTGATGAGAGGTGGTTCACATGTGAACTCCTCCTCAGGAATTGACCAGAAATATCTGCAGGCACAGAAAAGACAGTGAGAGAGGTGGAGGGAGATGGGTGGAGCAGATTAACTTTGCTATTCTCCACAAATCCCAAATGATCAATTAACCAGATAGCATCTTGCAATGAGTCACGCAAGAATCATATGTGGGACAGCAGCTTAAAATGCGAAGACCAACAGCTTCCTTCTATCAAAGCCTATCATGTTAACATCTGTCCGCATACATATTCAAAGTAAGAGACACCAGGATCCTATGATGACAAACTCAAAAATGCAGAAAATGTGAATAATAGCAGACTGATGAGGACAGCAACTCCTTTTCCTCATAAATGCTTCATTTTCAGTGTGGTTTTGACTAGAGTTAGACTAGAAATTTAGAAAAGAAGGATGTAGGAAGTAGAGGTAGTTCAGAGTATCTAATTAGGGGCAAAATATCACGCCAGTGTTCTTAAAACTGGCTGCATGGACTACCTGTCCTCATGAGTTTGAGCTTAATCTCTGTTCTTGCACACTTGATCTCATTAAGGTAAGAATTAGGTCATTTTAATTCAAAACATTGTTCAGCCTGTAACTTATTACATTGCTGCCCTATGATAGAGGAAACCTTTACTAGTTACAAGAATCAGAATAATCCGTTGACCAGCTGACGATCATTTACCTTCCAGCAAGGTGAGCAGGAGTGGCACACGTCTCCATGTCATCTCCACGGATGAGGCGCCTTAACCATAGCAGTTCACAATTGCAGTGCAGTGGGTTCCCTCCAAAATTTAGGCTTATGACAGCATTGTATGGGGTAGGACTTATTGCACCTGTCTGAGACCTGAATATAATAAAAGAAAAGCAGTCAGTCCATTCACTTAATGATGCCTTGCTGGACTTCGAGGTTATTTAAATGCAATATTCATAATTGTCTTTTCTCTCATTTTGAAACGAGTACCTGTAGTGAATACAAAAGAGCCTTAAAACTCATGGAGATAATCAATTTGCATTTGGTTAAATTTTTATAAATGATTTACTTTGAACATCACTCTCTAAGAACAACTTTAGAAGGACGTCTTTCATGAACTTGTCCTTAGACAGGTTGAAGTCAGTTTGGTGCAAAACAAATGTGAACATGGTATCTTCACATTTGAACATACCATGTTCAACCTCTCTGCTATTTGCTCCTGACGGAAATCTGAGCTTTGCATGCATCACTGAGTAAAACTTGTCAGTTATACAGTGTGAACGGCTGGTAGATGAGGCTGTCTTTGCTCACCACAAATTTTTAGCTTTGATTCTCATTCTGACAACTGGTTTGGAGACCACTACTTGTTTTCTGAGACCTCTAATGGGCACCGTTGCACAAGTGTTGCAATTTTCGTTTAACAAATTCTTTTGAAGTTAATTGGACAAAGCTTGATAGACGAGGCTCAGCTGTCTGATTGTGTCACTCTATTTTCTGCTTTAATGTACTTTATACTGATCTGCTCCCGCAAAGCATTTTACAGTTCACAGCCGTTTTTAGAAAAGGGTTAACTGTGACTGTACGTTGATTTACGTGAACATCAAATCCACCTTTGCGTTATCTGAACACATGGATCAGTGGAAGGGAAGCAATTCGTGGAGTTCATTTATTGTGCAAATAAACATAAAATTTGCCTAAATCTTGCAAATGTCTGCAATTGTAAAAAATTTTGTCGTGCCATAACTTATTTTCAAATGTTTCTAAAACCTTAAACTTGATAATTGTTCCCAAGTTTCCATTTTAATACCAAGCTGTTATAAGTAATTTTATATAGCATTTAATGACTGGTGTGATCTGTAGAGGGTATGGGAACATGTGAAACTGCAGAATAAACTGGCTGTGTTTAGCATGGCTATGTGAGAAGCTCTATTTAGTACAATCAGACTGAACTTTATGTTAAAATATAAAAGATTTAAACACTGGATTGCATAAACTATAGAAGAATACAATTTGTTGTGCAAGCATTCAGGTTTCCCTTTTAAATCTGGATGCATAAAGATGAGTTACAGGGGAAGTTATGATTAAAGAGATCATTTTAACTTGTTTTTAAAAGGTGGCCTGAGCTGAAATGTCTCTATTACTAATCAAAGCACTGGTCAGTTGTTATGATCTTGCACACTATGGTCTGTCATAGCGTGCAACGTAGTCCTTAGACAGGCAGTTAGAAATCGTGTCAGTGCAACACCTCATACGGTTGATTTGACAAAAATGTCAGTCCCACTGAGTTCCAGTTGACCAAAGCTGTGTCACAGCTGGACTTTGATTTCCACATTAGTTGGAGCACAGCTGACAGCTTTACAATGAGTGCGTACTTCTATTTATAACAGTCATATAACTCGCCATCACTATTTCAAAACTTGAAATATGTTTGAGTCAGCGAAGTGGTGAGAATTTGTGGTGGCACATAAATAGCATAAAAGTAAATGTTGACTAAAGAATTTACCGAATGCCAGCACCCCAGCATTGTCTTGCTTCTTTTTCTGTGCCAGAAAGCACCCTGCTAAAAACACACACACCGGTAGCTCTGTGGCGTCTGCAACAGGATATTTCTACTAAGCTACTTCTGAGGGAAACATAAAAGTTGAAGCTTAAGAGCTACCTTGCAAAGAGAGGATCAGGAGGCAGGGTTCGCAGCCTGTTGGAGGTCATATCCAGCCTTGCAAGCTTATACAGCTCTCCAAAGACTCCTTCCGCTATGTGATCTATCAGGTTATGGTCCAGGTTTAGTGTGTGCAGACTGGCCATGTTCTGAATGGACTCCCATGGTACCCTGTAGATATAAAAAAGAACAACGGCTAATGTGAGATTTATTGAATTGGTAAACTTTGTAGTGAGATTGATCATGCAGTGTGGAGATGGAGTAACAGCAGCTCTAAAGACAGATCCACCTCTTGGGACCTCTTTATTAAAGGATGTGATTGTAGCACCGATAGATCCACAGTTCATTTGTTGTTCTCTGGGTAATTTCTTCTTACTCGTCAGAGAACAAATATGCAACGATGAATTAATAGTGACAACAATGGCAGACAACAACAACAGATGCTTGTTTTCCTTCTGAATCTTTTGCTCTATCTGGGTTTCCCCAAGTCCCATCTGTGACCCATTGCTGTAGTCATTTAGTATTCCATTAGTGCTGTCATTCCCTGTTTTGGACCAATTAGTGAATCCAAATGAAATGTCTGGAACTAGCAAAATAGGAAAAATACGAAGCATTTATTTTTGGGCGTCAGTCACACCAGCCCTGCTGATTTTAACCTTTTTTTGTGTCCAGGTTCACCGAACTGAACTTTACAATCACCTTGCTGTTGGGTAATAAAGTTCATTGGGTGCAAAGAATGCTTTTCTTTTTGTAGTTGACTAAATAAACGTATTCAGTGATTTTAATCAGTTACGAAAACAATTTGGTAAACATTGATGGTTACAGCAGGTGGCCTCCATTTATCTGTACAATAGTTTGATTAGACAACAGGCCTGAAAGAGGAAAGAAGTGCCAGGCATAGTTAATTAGACCATGTTTATGGTTTAGATTATGGTTTTAGAGGTTGGAGAAAGGCCAAAGAGCTGCTTTAGAGGAGACAAATGAAACATCTTAATCAGAACTGACAGCCCAATGCTGCTGAATTTATCAGCACAGAGGGACACTAGGAAGAGAATAGAGGTCTAAAAGAGAATATCATCATTGTTCTGACTTATCATTTAGACCAGAGGAATGGAAAGTAACGCTGAATCCCTATTGTCCTAAATAGACACGAGAAGAATACTGCACCCTGCACTCAGCTGTATAGAGCAGCTATAACAGTGTACACGGTGGCAGTGGAGTGAGCTCAGACGAAGTGAAAGAAAATTAGAACCTCATCAAAATTGACTTTCACTTTTCTTTCCCTTTCTTCTCCTCGTTGCCTCATATGCCAAGTGTTTTCATTGTGCATTTGTGTGTAAATTTTGTGTGCAGGATACACTGACAGAGACGGGTGTGTCCGTGTATGCTGGCTCATGAATTAAATTGAGTTTGACACAAAGGATGTCAAACTCAATTTAGTTCATGGGCCACGTTCAGTCCACTGTATGCAGCCTAAGAAAAACAACAGTATATGGTTCTTTTCCCCTTTAAGTAGTGTAGCACAAGGTGTTTTCCTAAAACTTAAGCTTGTAACCATAAACCCATGTGAGATATGTCTTCAAAATGTGCAAAATAAAGTATTCTTGTTAAATACTATCTATTTAAGAATGACCTATTTACAAGGAGGATGAACATCCTGAAATATTGCAAGAAAAATAATCTCATAGTTTATTTTTCTTAATTCATTGAGTTTACCGTCATATGAACAATTGAGAGATCAGTGGAAAGGCACAAAACCTTCACACGTACAAGTTTTTGGAGTAATTTATTGAGAAACTCTATCAACAACGGACTTCACTGCCGTTTTTAAACGTTGCAAGTCTGGCTCCAGGCCCCATTTTTGATGATTTCTGCTTAAAGAGCAATGTCTGTGGCTTGGATGTGCTGTGCACGTGGGTGATACCCAACAAAAGCAAAAACTCACCTCCTGAGGTTATTGTAAGATAAGTCGAGGTCTTCCAGTGTGAGCAAGAAGTCATCGAAAGCCTGCACGGAGACCTTGATCAGCTGGTTGTTGTTGACAATCAGGTGCTGCAGATTGACCAAACCTGCAAGGTCTCTAGGTCCGAGTATTGTCAAGCGATTACCTGGATAAAACAATAAACGGGTAAAAACACGTTTAAGTAGTGTATTTGATTCAAGTCTTGAACACTGAGAATAAAATAACTGCTCACCATCCAGATGCAGAGAGCGTAGACTCTCCAGGTCAGCAAAGGCCATTGGTCTAATAAGGTGGATGGTGTTCCTTGACAGTGTCAGATCAACCAATCCGGTCATGTTGACAAAATCATTTCCGCCCACTTCTGTTATAAAGTTATCGGCCAGTCGCAGCTCAACTGTCCGCCGGTCAACATGCGGTGGGACGAACAGGAGGCCTTTGTCGGCACAGAGCGTGCTCAGTGACTCCGAAAGGTTTCGACACACGCAGTGGAAAGGACAGGCCGAGACCACACCCCACGTCTCCCCTGCTCCAATTAGAGAAGGAAGCAGGCAGCATGTGACCAAAGTCAGCCAGTGAAAGACTGGGAAAGGGACAGAGTCCGGGAGGGTTCTCTTTGCAGTCCTGGGACAGGCGCAGTGGATGAGATGGGAGGAAGTTGACAGAGATGAAACAAAAAGAGGGGACAGAAGAGAGACGGACAGACTGGGCAGAGGGAAGAGGGATGGGAAGTCGGAGCCCTCTGCTCTGTCTTCGGGGTGGTGTGTGTGGGGTAGGTGTTTTTGTCTGCGGGGATTGAAGGGTGGGGGGACAGGCATGGTAGAACGCCTGGCTGTTCACAGACCTGGAGAGAAAAAGAGAACAGATGGGGGGGGAAAAGATTAGACATAGTTTTTAAACTCATACAGTTGGTCGTATTTCTATGTGTGTGTCTGGTTTTTTGTCTTCCACCTACTCTGACTAGACAGAAGTGAAGCAAGGGCTTGCTTTACACACATCCATACCTGTGTGGGTCAAGGCCTCTTCTAAACAAGTACCACTTCACACTAGTGCCTACATGGTGCTTTGTAGCATTAAAAAAAATCTGTATTGAAAAATGGTTGCCTCCCTTGCTGTGTGCTTTTTTTTTTTTTTTAATTGGCTTACATGTATATTCTGTCCTTTCTACCTCTTTGCCACTGTAGCTTATTGCCTAGCAACAGCATCCCAAAAGACTGAACACAGCCAGTCCCCATAGTAACAGTTACCTAGAAACATGTGAGAGTGGATTACTGTTATATCATAGGACCCTTTCTTAACACTGTGGGTCAGGGAATCAAATTGGGTCAGCAGCCCATCAGCCTGGATTCCACAGCAAAGCTCAAATAAAGCACAATGCAGGTGTTGGTAAGCCTGGCATAGCACTAAACACACCAGGGTCCCATTGTAAGTCTCACACATACAGTATGTATGGCAGTACAGTCGTACTAGAAGCAAGTCGTTCTACTCTGCAGCCTTGTTTTTTTTAAATGTATGGAGAGGATCCATGATTAAGTCACTATTTTAAAGCAAAAAAACCCCCAACAAGCTCTGATTTTCTTCTCATCAGGTTACACTTGGGCACACACTGTTACAAATACTTGCAAACATGATAAGCATCTCTGGGAAAACCCTATCAGAACATATAAACAAATGTCATGCTAATTCTGGTTATTTGTGAATAAAGGCACTCAAAACGTATACACTGTGTCTCTGACATCTGTCAGTGTAACATTATTGGCTCAAATGACTCCCCGTTTGGCTGTTAATTGGTTTTTTGGTTGTAGGGGCGGGTCAGCTGTTTTGTTCTGTGTTAAAAATCTCACTTCTGTTTGTGTTGTGGCTTTGAAATGGCATCCCTCTGCCTTTATCTTGCCAGTAAATGCACACATTGTGGCTTAGTGATAAGGTATAGGAGTGAGTCACAGCCACTGATTGCCATGCCTAATAGTTGTTATAGCAACTGTAGCCTAGATGCAGAAAGAGTGACAGAGATGGTTGATAACAGTCAGAGATGCAATGAGGGGAGATGAGATGGTGAGTCACGGACGGACACAAAAACATCACTGAAGAACGATGGGGATATTTTCATATGAAGCAATCTGTAAACTGACAGTGCAGAAACTAGAGTGTGATGATTACACGGTGATATACAGTATGTGCAACCCAATACTCTGAGTAATGACCAGGCATAACTATGCATCACGATGACTTTACAGGTTGACGCAAATTGCGGCTCAATATTTTCCATTAGATTCTGGCTTTACTCTTTCTGCCTGAAACTAGAGGAGCGTTTGCAATCTAGCTCGGATAGTGAGACTGCTACATGGTAGTTTTGGTCTGCTTCCAAAATGTGAGCTCTATATTAGACCAGGCTACACTGTCTCCTTTTTGAATCATAACTTTGTATTGAGTAAATGAGAAGATGAGAACTCTAGTGCCTGAAATGAATATACTTTTTTTTTTTAATCTTGGGATCTCAAATGTTCTCGGTAAAAGCTGAGGGGAAGGAATGAAAAAGGTGGTATAGATCACGCAAGAACTACTTTTTTGCTTTATTGAATGGTGCCATTGCTGCTTTAATATCCTGCGTTTCCTGTTGAAGCATGATGCTTGGGCAGCACATTAAACCAATGAGATATTAGTTATCAAGAGCAATGCAGTTTGGGCATGAGCCCGGTTTTCTGCCCATCCCATCAAGCCGTTCAGTTGTACGTCAATAGACTGCAGAGTTAGAAAACATTGCTTTTTGCTACTTGAGTGCCTCTTGGTTGTTCTGGGAAGCTGCAATGACTACCAGGAACTCTGTACCGTTTTCAACCCAGCCTAAAAATAAAACTCCCAAGATGCTCTCCAGCTTAGCAATGATATCAGGGATTGTTATTTCCTTATGTCTAGTGTCATCATTTTCAAAAAAAAGGAAAGGAAGGATGAAAATGCTTGCAGCAGGAGAGAGTGGGATGGTGGGAGTGTGGGGAGGAGGACAAAGGCACGGAAGCCTGCAGTGACAGCCAGTCCCTGGGGCAGGTTGATGCTGGAAGTCGACTGCTCCTGCACTCCTGTGGAGCCATGCATACTAAAATGTGACAATACTCTGGCAAAGTGTAATACTGCTTAAAAATGTGTCTTCTCCGCCATGTTCCCTGAAAAGCCCTAATGTCAGGTGGTGTCTTCATACGATCGGCGCTAAACCAGCTTTACCCCACGCTTTGCTAACACTTGGTTTGCCTGCGGCATGCTGAATGTCAGTAATGCTCGTGCAGTCCTCTGTTGTGCGTCCTGCATCTGTCTCCACACCGTCATTTGACCTTTCTGTCTCATTCATTTTTTCCTCCTCTACTCTCGTTGCTTAGCTCTTCTCAGTCATCTAATAACTCTCCTGGCCTTACTCTCACTCTGTTTTTAATTTCCACCTTCTGTCTCCTCTTCTCCTTGTGAAAGCCTTCTCCTCGTGTCCTCCCTGCCCACACTGTCCACTCCCACACCTCTCGCTTACTGTACCGCTCCTCTTCTTTCTCTATTTCCAGGGATCGGGCTTTGTTTCCTCATCTTCTATCCTCTCCCTGCAGTTGTCTTCCTTGTTATCTTCACCTATCCTGTTTCTGCATCCTTGCTCACCTTCCATCTTTCTGCCTCTGGCTATTCTGTAAATTACCACATTTTCTTTCTTTATGTCTCATTCCCTCTTTTTCTTTCTCTCCGTCTTGTCTGCCCTTGAGGCAACCCAAGTACAACAATGTTATCAGTCACAGCACTACCTCACCACCTTCTCCGGCAGCACTTCCTCTGTCATTTTGTCTCGTCTCCCTATCGCTTGCTGATTCTGCTGCCCTCCATGTCTCCTTGCCAGTGCTGCTCTAACTTTCAGTCACAAACTATCCACACATGCAAACACACACCCTCTGATCCTGCAAACCACACATGATTATATGCTGCACCCTGCCTGTCTCAGAGGCTCCCTCCCTCCCTTCATTTATCTAACTTTCCCACTCATCTCTTCTCTCCATCTGCTTTCTCTTGATTTCTTTCTTCCCCTCCCAAACTGTCATTTCTCTTTCTTCTTACTCACTCAGCGTCTCACTCTCTCCTTCATTTGGTGCTCTTCCTCTGTTATGGAGGAGATCTCATTTACAACCAGAGCAGTGCAGTATTGAAGCTTTCTGGCACACAAGTTGGATGTAACTGATCTGCTCAGCTGCTGATCGATCAGAGCCAAAGAGATAGATAGCACCCTGTCCCATTCATTTACTCTCACTCTTTTTCTTTCACTCTTTTCTTCTTCCATGCTCTCATTTCATCTTTTTTCCCTCTTTAACAGTGATAAAGATGCAAGTAGTAAACATGTTAATCCAATAAGTAAATACTTTAAGTTTTTTAAATTGTGAGGAGTTTTCTTTAAATTTCATATTTATGCAAAAAATAAGAGTGATACAGCAGTATGCCTGATGCACTATGGCATTTAATAGCTGCTTCCAGCCTAGGATGAGTGTTTCTTCTGATTCATGTGTTCCCTTTAGTGACAGTTGGTGTAGGACATACAGTTGACTGTATTTGAGAGTCTCCTTTGGACCTTAGCCAGTACACCTCTGGTGCAAAAATAACGAAGACCCATTCTTATTTGTGATTCCAAAATCTGCACACAAAAAGGTACCCAGATTACATCTTCAGATGTGAAACTCAGATGTTTGCCACAGCTTATAAATCCCTCAAATCAACTTCCTACATTTCTAATCTTACCTGGTTCTATCGGGTAACTGTCACTTGCGTATAATGTAACCTACAGCAATGCCTTAACCTTAACTTTTTCAGTTTTTAACCACTAGTTTAAAACAGCTTTTGCCTGATATTTATCTCTGTTCATCTGTTATACAAATATATAGCTTTTTTTTATTCCAGTTCTTCCCCCCTCTTATCTTTCCTCGTCTCTTTGGTCTGTGTGTGTGTGACACTCTTGTAACACTGGATTTTCCCCTCTGGGAATCAATAAATGCTTATCTAACGCTTTGTACCGATGCCTCAGAAAGCTATAGTACGGCATGTGTGCGCGTGCAGTAACTGAAATAAGCTAGGTAAGTATCTGCACTTGCTATATACGGTTGTAGACATGAACTCCCACCATGCTTGTCTAGTGCGTGTTCCTGTTTGTGAATTAATGTGACACTTGTCTGCACTTAGGAAGTCTTCTTGTGCTCTTAAGAGTTTGCTGCTGAATTTGCAATAAGCCGGGGACACACTTATGTGTGTCAACACAAACACACCCACACTTTTTTGCACTCTCGCTCAGGCCCACGTGCACAGAGAACAAGACATCGCAGTATATAGCAATAAGGACAAAAGCCCACTGGGACAAAGCCTACTTGACACTTTTTGGGACAAAAAAAAAAGTCAAGGAGGTCAGTCGATAAAAGATTAATGATTAAGAAATAAATCACAGAGAAGAGCACAAAAATGCACCGGAAACTAGACAAAGAGGAGTATGAACAACAGACTATTAATATGAAGGTACATGTGTATTTGCTAGCTCATCCAAGCTCTTAGGCTTGTGTACCATATCTGTTGTTTGCAGGTGTTTTTGTTTTTTTTACTCTATTTTGGGAAATCTCTTCTTGCACGACCCTGCGTGAACCCATAGCTGTCCAGGGAGCAGGAAACAGACTGTTGACGAGAGCAAAAAAGGCTGCATAAAGTGAGAGTGAGAACATGAGCTAAAAGCATCTATGGAAGGATCTACTCTGTACCCTCTGCTCTGGAGCACAACTCGGTGCCAAGAGACTGAACCTGACCTCACCCCAACTCCAGCAAGCTTCAGTTTTAACACCCACCACA